TAGACGGACAAGGCCGAGTCATGGTGCACTACCTACAACCAACACCAAATGCCATCATTAATGATCCAGATCCTATAGATATCCATAAGCTGGAACCAAGTGTTAAAGCAAAACCGATGATAGAGTCTATGAAAAGGTTTCAATTAAAATTCTTTATTTTTTTTAATGTGAACGTTCAGCAATAAGTACTAAATATTTATTAATATCAATGATAAAAAAAATTTAAAGTCTTAAGAGCAGTTTGGTTTTTTCTGGTATAACAAATGTGGATTATGTTATTTTTGAAAACACTCTAGTCAAAATTTCTCATAACTTGTTAAATAATGTTTGAACTAAAATCAAATCTTGATCACTTTTTATTGAGTTGAGGGACGTTATCTGTTTACTGTAGATCACTAAATTTTCGCGACACCTTATTTTCGCGAGATTGTCATTGACTCTTTGTGAGCGAGATATAATTTTCACGAATAGTTGTTATTCCCATATATAATCATAAGGAATACTTTTATACGCGAGAATTTAATTACGCGAAAATAAAGTTCTCGCGAATAAAAAGTGATTTACAGTATTTTATTTTCATTTTATCGTATGCAATAAAAATAAAATTGAATGGCTTTAAAGTGTTTTCAGCTGAATGAGAAAAAAAAAAGATCAGGATGATTTCGAAGTTTAAAAATATTCAACAAAGTTTGTCATGCAAAATAAAATATAAAATAAATAAAATGTGGAATTATAATTTTAAAACTGGTTCCTTTTTCTGCTTTCCTTTATTTGATATAAGTATTTAGGCTTTCACATTTACTAGAATATTTAACAATTTCATATAAAGGGGTGAAAGTGGCAATACAAGTTTCAGCTCTTTACGGACTATATCTAGAGGGATTCTGGAATACGAAGGGATAGAGGCCAGACTAGTGGACGCAGACTATAGCTGGACAAAGGTAATAAAATCAATAAACTTCAGCAAATTCAGAAAAATGCTTTTTAGTATTTTTGAAAGATTTTTCTGAAGAAGTTATTGAAAAAATATTTTTACAAGCATATAATTATTTCAATTTGCAATATACATTTAATTATCTGATCTTTCCTTGGTGTTCCAACGTAATTAAGATAAACAAAAAAAAGGTATTTGGATCTTTACAGGTTCCAGGTACAAACTTTTCGTTGTGTGTTGTCATTGGAAAAAATGATCAGCAATCTCGACTGAAGCCAGGACAACAAGCATTATCAAAGAGTGGCGTATTCTACTATCACAGACTAGACCTGAACGGCCAAAGCACACAGAAATGTAGACAGTATGAAAGATATGCCACTAAAGGTATTGCACACATTGGATAAATCATTTTCTAAACTAAAAGGAGGATAGGGGAGGATGGGTTGAGCTCTTTAATTTTGTCTGTTCTTGTGAAATCAATCATTTATTTCTAATTCTTTCTTGGGGAATTACTACTATTTTTTGCTCTTCCGATATACATTTCATTAAAAGGTGTGTGAAAGAAAATTTAAATCTTCTTTTTTCTGTTGAAAGAAAAGTCGATGGTAATGCTGTCTCCTCATACTTTTGATAAACCTTACGAATACCTGTATAAGACTGAAACACAAGCAACGGTTCTAGGGTACTCCAATTATTTGAACGGTATTCACAGCCAGCAAACTGAAAATGAGCTGAAATTGAAAGTATGTCACAATCATAAAAAGAGAGAAATATTAGTGATATTAAATTTCTGTTAGTGTCATTTATTTCCATAAATAATTTAAAATATAAGTATTTATTCCATTAAAAAATAAGAGAAATTGGTAAATTAGGAATGTCACAGAGATGGAGATTGGAATTGGCAACTAAAGGCAAATTATTTTTATGAAATAGGAAAATGTAAAGAGCAGCGTACAAGCTACTTATAAAGCAGAAGAATTTTGGACAAAAAACCCAGACCAGTCACAATTTGTGATATGGCGTTACTTAGGAACAAGAGATGGTCATGTGAGAGTATATCCTGCGGTGGAAATTAGGAAGGATTACGATCCTTTCATGAGGCCGTGGTAAGTCAAAAATGAGTATAACCCATGTGATATACATATATCCCAAATCTTCCTATTGTTTAGTGTAAAATTAAGGAAAGTGGAAGTTGAATAACTCCCCCGTGGTTCCTGATCCCATCTCTGATGTGATGAAATCAGAGGTCTATGTTTGCCATGCTCTGGATTTTTATTCTTTCAAAGGATGTATTTTTGCAAAAGATGGACTTTTGAGTTTGATAACTGTTCAGTATCTCCATTTATCATTTGAGAATGATGGTTATAGGTGGAGAAGAACATTGGCACAGAAAGGCAAATATGTAGTGATATCGCCCTACGTTGACAACTGGGGAGCTGGCATTGTGGTGACACAGTGCAAAGCCATTTACGAAGGAAGGTCAGATACTTTGGAATGTTCTTTCTCAAGACATAATGTAATCAGACGATAAATTTAAAATGAAAATCAAAGTCTTCGTCATTGTTTTATTAAAAATTTGTTTGTAAAATAACCACAGTATTATGATATTGAATTTGAAGGGCTGATGGTCAGCACTCTGTGGACAATATCGTTGATGTGGTTCAGTGCATTGATTATCCATACCCCTACTTCAGCAGGATGTTTTTGAATAATTACCCAGAATGCACAAATCCTGAATACAGGTTTGTCTTTAGAATATTTTAAGTAACTGATTAAAATATGAAAAGTGAAAAAAACAAACAAAAAACGATTGGTTGATTTAGTGACTTAGCTTCGTTGAAAGCGTGTTCAATTTTATTTTTATTTCCCCTCAAATACTCGTATTAAATATTAGAGAAAGGTTTATCAAAAATATGCCCGTAAAAGTTGAAAGTAACAACTTGATTAGTGATTTGTTAACATATTTAGTACATGTATTTATTTATACAGTTACTTTGGGTTATAGAAAATAGAAATTATACACAAAATATTTAATTATTAGCTGCATGGTGATCGACATAAGTGGTTTCCTTGTTATTTACCCAAGTTTCTCGTATGTTGTGGACGAACCTGATATTGAACGAAAGCATTTGGGAGTTAAGGTAAGAATGTTAACAGTTTTCAGTCTATTTGAATAATCAGTCAAAGAACGATCATGAAGACAGTAAACAGAACGTATCACTTTATAATGATTTTTAGTTCATTATATTTTTAAGTCACCTGACTTTACTCAGGTGACATATAACTATCTTTTTTCGTCTGTCGTCGTACTTTAACTTATAAACTTGTGAAATGCTTGGCTCTAGGGTTAGGGGTTCAGGTGCTAGGAAGGGGTGAGCAGACTTTAACAACTGAACACACCCGTCGAATCGTAAACCTTAACAATAACAGAGCTCGTGCCCTGTTTACAAAAACTGTGTACATTTCACGGGTGTGTTCAATTTTCTAAACTGTACACAACACCAAGCGCGGAATACCGTTACTTGTGAAGGGCTTTTGCTTTCTAACATTTCTACTCTATATATAATTATTTTTCTGGATCAAAGTTTTAATATTTGTCATTAATACACAACAAGATTGCCCTTTTCCTAAGTATTGAGAATAAAATTAAAATTTATGAAATTGCAAGGATGTGTCAATCAAACCCATCCAAAACTTTGAAGTTTCAATAACTTTTAGAAGAAATAAGATTTTTAATATATTTTCGTGTGAAATGCCATTACAATATATAAGTCGTGATATTATACAGAAAATAAAATATTAAAACTTCAAACCTGTGTCTATGCACCTTTAAAACAAAATACACTGTAATTAATGTTTACAATTAAGTATTTTTAAACAGTCAAGTATTTCATTCTACTTAGTTAGAATTTAATATTTTTTATGGAATATTTTCTCAGACTCGAAATAGCAAGAAAATTTGCCTAAAGCGGTTTGTCATGAGAGGAAATCATGCAAAAATAATTGAAAGTCCTACGCCACGGGGAATGTTTTTTCTTCACCTTTTAGAATAAGAATCCTAAAGGAGACCTAAAGAAAGTCCTGCCGGAAGGGTTTCTATTCCAAAGAATTTGATAATATCATTTAGGCTTTTAAAATATTTCTATGAAAAAATATTTTTCCTTTGGCAATTTTTATTTCATTGGGGAACAGTTTACATTTCATCTGTTAAAAGAGTTAATAATTTCCTTTTCATGACATGACAGTTTTAAGGGCACCGATTTGGTAATATAAAAAGTGTTAATCATTTAACTTTTTTATCTTTGTATCTTATTTTAAGGCTGCAATTTTTTTTACAGGAGAGAAAAATAATGGATGATCTGTTAAATAATAATATTATTGAGAGGGAGAGTTGTCTGGACATAGAAAATAAGCAACAATTATTCTCATATAGGGTAAGAATAATTACCATCGGATAATTCGACTACCCATGCAGGATTTTGTCATACTACTTATATCTACAGAATGCATGTATTGTTAAAATACAGAGTGTTTTATGTTTTTCATCATAATTTTCTTGTGTTTAAAAAGTGTCAATGTACTTTTTTTTTTTGAAGGTACAACTTTCGGATACAGATGACCCAGTTGACAAACTGTCAAAAACAGGATATAAAATTGCACCTGTCCTTAACAGCAACGTATATATCATCATTAAAAAGAATGATCTCATCAGTGGAACATGTTGTCAGGTTTATAAATGCATACATGTATATCTTTCAAAAGTGTTCAGCGAAAATTGCAAAAAAAATTTTAAAAGGATTTTCGAAATCATTTAACTCTATCAGTGTCAATATAAAATCTGCTCTATGTTGAAGGAATGAGAGTGCTTCGCGTTCACAGTGTTTTTCCTTAAATTTTGAGGGTTTTTTTTCTCTTTTTTATGATTTTGATTGATCCTAGAATGAAAGGAAATATGTTTAATTTGTGTTGGCATTGAAAACAAACAAGCACGGATTGAAATGGCATTTTAAAATAATGATTTAGTTTTTACTTATTTGATAATTGTTATAAAATCTATGGTCTTGTACCAACAAATGAAATATTAGGACCGTATTTTACTTATCAGAATTCGAAAACATCGCCGCTAGAATATACTTGTACCAATAGTGGATCAGATTGCTGCCTTTGCCATAAAATCGTGCCTTATGATACCTGCCAAGAAAAAACAACATCCGGGTAAGATTTCTTTCATGTTAAATATGCATTTTAGCTGTTTTAAAAAAAAAACGAAATTATTATGTTAAGAAAACTAAATTATTAAATAAAGAAAACGAAATAATCAAATAAGGGAAACGAAATTATTAAATTTAAAAAAAACGATTTTTTTTGTGAAAAGTATGTGAAGTTTGAGTCTAAAAATTCAACCTTTAAAAAAATTTTATAACGTGATGGAATGAGATGGCACAGCAACACACATCCTGTAAACAGCTATACTTTTGCTTGTTACTCTTTTGTGCACCATCTTTTAAGCTAGAATGTTTTATAATTATGATTTAAAGTATCATTTTTAGCTAATGAAGTTAGTTTCTTAGTTGTATTGGCTTGAATATCTAATACATATATATGACTAGTCATTTTTTCTCTCTCTCTCTCTCTCTCTCTCTCTCTCTCTCTCTCTCTTGTTTTTGTATTTCAGGTAAAACTATATTGTATGCTAATTAGTTTGTGTTTAAACAGCATTTATTTGATTAAATAACATTTTCACTCATCTAACTGTGTTTGTCTTACTTTATGTTGTATTAGGTTTAGCAAAAACTAGCTGAGAATTGTCAGCTTTGATACGAGTTGTATGTAGCAAATTTTGTGGAAATAAATAAAAGTTTTAAAAATATGTAAAATCCCGTCTATTGATTGGTTGTTATTTGTCACAGAGAGACATACCACGCTTGCAGTGCTAGATTACCAGATTCAAACGTCAAAGTTCCATCAGAATTGGACAAAATAAAAGAGCTAGGCTTGACACCTTGCTTTGATGCTGGCTGTAATGCTCGAGATGAGAAGTAAGTTGTTTTTTTTTCTCTAGTACTGATTAAGATTAAAATTTTTTTAAAGGAGACTATGAGAGATGTTAAATTATTTATTTCTACATGTAATGTTTTACGACCGTCTTGAAGCGAGCTGTAAAATGATAGACGTGTATTCCAAATTTGTTCAAATTCATATCAATGTTGATTTCATTGAAATATATTTTAGATATACTTGAAATTTGTTAGTGTTTGTCCAGTTCATATGATTTTTTCACACTGAACAAAGAACTTTCTAGGACATTAAACTTTTTTGTTAAAAAAAAAGAAAAAAAAAACTTTCATGACAACGTTGATTTAACTGAAATACTCTTTAGCTATACCTTGACATGGTTTGTCCTGTTCATATATATTTTCATCCCGAATCTCTTAGCTAGAGTAAAACTTTCTAGGACCATTTGACTTTTTTTAAGATGGAAAAAAATTGTTTTCTTGCCACATTTGAATGTTTGCTGATTCATTCTAAATTGATGGTAAACAAAGAAGAAAATGAGTGCCACGTTTACAAGCATTTTCCTTTGTAGCTACACTTCTCTGGAATTGATATTTGACAGACATAACGGTAATTTTCCCCCAAGGCTTGCGAAAAGAAAAGCGTTATAAAAATGTTTATTGCTCTATGAAATTGAGGGATTTGTAATTTTAGACGTCCGACTGAATTATCTAATCCATATAACTCTGCAACTACAATTGTTTGCTTTCATATAGCATTCACAATATCTATATTTTATAGAAATTGCTACCAAGTAGCAGGATGCAGCTGGTGTGTTCAAAACGAAAATGGTAGCCAGTTTTCTGAACATGAGAGATGCTGCAATATCATCGAGACTTGCCCATTTGGGAAAGTTAAGAGTAAAAAAAGTAAGGAGATTTTTTTTCTAGCGTATTTTGATTAAGACATTAAGGATTCAGTAAAAAAGAACATCCTTAGTTTTAAGTATATTTCAAACTAATACCTCCTAACCTGTACAGTGAACGTGTATAGAGCTCTGTCATAATAAAGGCTTAAGAAAGTTTACCTGTTCCTTGTTTAATATACAAAGGCTCAAATACAAATACTGCACTTTGGTGATTCCCTTTGTACAGCGTAACAGAATGAAATTATCACGTGCTACTTAGTTTCACATGTAAACTCCAAATATCTTTTGCTAATGTTAAATTTAATTTTTTTATACCTGCAACGTTATTTCCACTTATTATGAAAAATGACACAATTTTATAGCTTGTATTAATGTCTATACTCTATATACATAACCATAAAAAAAAATACGTTGAAGTACGATAAATATTGTATTATTTATTTGTATCGTAGTTTTTTTTTTATTGTCAAGTCATTCCTCTAGAAAACTATACCGATGACTTGTTTAGCGGCGTAAAAGTAAAAAAAATAAAGTGGTTTTCGTAAGAAATAGTAAGAGTGGACTCAAATATTCTGAGTCATTTTGGTCTCCTCTGAACGCATTGGGTTGCTTTTAGAACCTTTTAACAAAATTAGCGCTAGGTCTCTTGTCTGTATTCCCAGATGAGATACATACAGTATGATGCCTTATAACTTTTTTTTTCCAGAAACACAATGTCTTGCTTCATCAATCCCAATCAGTTCAGAACAGACAGATGAAATACCAATAATAGCCGGAAGTGCAGGAGGCGCAGCAGCTGTAATTATGATCATACTGATCATAATCATTGTGGTGGTCGTCTCCAAACGAAATAAAAAAGACGACAAGAAGGCAACATATCTTACGGTGGTTACTGATAATCCTGGCTTCAGCTCGGCTGGGGAAAATAGATCAGAAAGTGAGAGTTCAATTAACTACCTCAGAGGAGAGGACGAAGGTTCCCATCAAGGTAACCAGTATATTGGAATGCAGAGTTCTGACGATGGAAGTTGTACAGCACAATTAGGTGACAACCCGAAGAAACCAGGCGCCTTTTGAACACGCGTTTTGAAAAAAAGTTCTGCATACATATATGTTGTTTGTTTTATGATATGTTAAATTGTTTAATTTCATTTGACATATAATAATGTTATAGGGCAATGTTCGATCTATAGAAGTTACATTATTATTATGTTCTTACTAGTACTCATTGCTCAAATGCATTAAAGAAATTCTGATCGAAATGGACAAATTTTCAAAACTTTTCTAAAATAATTTGCTATTATATTTTATGTGTATGTATTATGTAAAAGAGATACGGTAGCTACCTTGTTTGGCTCCAGAAACTTTGAAAAACTACATTTTGATTTCAATTATTTTTCCATTGATTTCAAAGATCAATATACTGGTACTCGTTTTATGTTATGAATAGTTTTTTCCATTCTTTATATGAAAATGTCTTTTATTTCCTTTTTTTAAAACCAAGTTCTAATTTTGTGCCTTATGTCAAACACATTCAATTTCTTTTGTTATTCATAGCTAAAATTATATGGTTGAACTTCTGGCATCTGAAAAAATAATGAAACAGTGTCTGATTACGTTTGATTCATTAATTGCTTATTTGTTATACAAATGATGTCTTTCAAATATTTGTGACGTGATAAACAGTATTTTGAGCACGACTGAAATGGTTCTACGCTACCTCTAATCCAACATTTCATATCTTTATCTGCATAAGAACTTTATATTAGCTCGTTTATGATTGTGTATACGTAAATGTACTTGAAATTAATATATGCACATGTACTTATAACTTTTGTAAATATCATTAAATATCTTTTATGTTTTTCAAACAGGATTTTGAATGTGTAATCAAATGTATGTTTTTAATATCACAGCAAAGTAATTTGTGCATCACTCTGTCAGTTAAATGATTGAATATTACATTGTACTTTGAATTTTTATACCATAATGTGTTTGAATTATGTGTTTTTGGACCACCTAAGCCGAAGGTTCAAGTGAGCTTTTCTAATTGGAATTGGTCCTATGTCATTCGTCGTTGTCATAAAACTTTTGACATTTTCATCTTTTTGGGAACCACTTGTTTCAACCAAACTTGCCAGAAATAAACTTTAAAAGTTTAAAGGAGCATGAACACAGTTTCAGCTAAAATTTCAAAATTTATTTTTTTCGTTTTTACAAATATTCAACCAGGGCCTTTCTAATGATCATCAAAAATTTGAACTTCTGGTGTCGAGATACAAGACAGATTTAGAGCTCCAAACCTTTGTTATATAAACAAGGACCGTGTCATGTTTTTGTTTACATGAGTTAATATACTAATAAATGTTCGTTCAAAGTAGAATATTTCAATAAAAAAGTTAATTTTAAATTCGATTTGACAGTTTCTATTGATTTGCTGAATTTTATTTTGTTAACAAAAACAAGGCACGAGCCTTGTTTACTCTATAAAGAACTTTAAGTTCTGTATCTCGTTTGTTAAATTATAAATCAATTTATAAATGATGTTCAAATTTTTGCTAATCATTAGATGATGCCTTAGGTAGGAATTGTAAATATTAAAACTGGGTTTTAAAAATTCAGTTTAAAACTGTGTCCATGCCCCTTTAAGAAGGGATTCAGATGTGTTCAAATGAAGGACTGGGCCGTCTTTCACGAGAGATATAGAATTCGTGAAAATTCAATTATATATTTAACATCTTTTCTTCAAGAGTAACTGATCCAGGGATTAAAACTTTAAATTTGTTTAAAAGTTTAAGTTAAAACTTTAAATTTGTTTTAGAAAGCTTCACTTTCTAATGTGGTTTCAAATTTGTTCAAAAAATTGATCCCTGAGGGTATTAATAAACATCGGTAATCTAACGGTTGAACGATTTTCATACCATAACCGGAAGTCAAGTTTGAGTCTGTTGAACAGAAATCAAAAATTGCATGTTTAATAAAACATTTGGCGATATCATGGAGTTTTGAGGGTTTTTACTGTTCATCATAAGTAATGCAGCAATATTTCAAAAAATAAACTCTCCTTTCGATTCCCGGAACAACGCTAAGGCTTCTTAAAAATGGCTTAAGTAAAAAGATAAACATTTAACATTTTTATCAAATGTCTGATGTTCTGAAAAGTGAGTTTAGCCTTACTGTATTCATTTTTGAAAATCGTTGGAAAAAAAATCAAATATTTGTAGATTACTGCTTGTTGCGTTTCTTTTGCGTTTCAGTATATAATTACAAATAAACATCTATTCATATCTTAATTACGCTATCGTCATTTGAAAACAAGCAGACAGAATAATTGTGGTTAAGAAACGCATGAAGTAATGAATTATGATCATCATTTCCCTTTCATTCCTGTTGTTGTTTTAAGTGTCTTGACTAGATGGATTTTTATCTCTACCGATTAGTTTTATATATCTCCATCATTGGTTGTGGACTCTGCGCACCTCTTGATAATGTCCAAAATTCTAAATCTATATCCGTTGTCGTAGGTAAGATTTCTTTCTGGTAAACATCATTTTACCTATGTATTAATGTCTTCATTGTGATCTTTCATTTGTAACCCCGGTAATTATTCAAGTAAATAAAACAAAAATCATGTCTTCTCTAAGTTCACTCTTTAAATGCTCTTTTAAAGATTGCCTTAACTTACTTAATTATATAAATACATATGTAGTATACATTGTAATAATCGTAGAATGACTACTTTTTAAAAACGAAATTAGATGAGAAATCCAAGGACATCGCTGAGTTGAATGGCATTCTTTTCTTCAAGCGGAGACCAAAGAAACCGCAACCAATCAAAAGAGTAACGCCCCGCCCTAACGTAAAACCGACAGAGGCCCCTAAAACGACGACATCCACCCCTGATCCAACTACTACGCCTATACAACAGATACCTGGACCTGTGAAAAGAACATTCAAGTTTAAAACGACAATAACAAAAGTGTACCACGTACCACAAAAGGTCTTCGTGCGAGACTGGTATAGATTTATTAGGAATTTCAGTTGGTCGGATTTTCAACGACGTCAGAAAAATAACCGGTGTCCGTGGTGCCGTTGAGAGATTTTGGGGACATTTTGACTTTGAGTTTTATTGTTTAAATTTGTCCGTTAAATTGAAATATATTTTAAAAAGTGAAATGTCTCGTCAAGTTGTAATATAATTATGCAATTTGACATCAAGCAGTTATATTTTTTGTAAACATCTTAGTTTGAATCATAGACCTAAATTTAGGTCTGTGTTTGAATACAAGTTATGTAAATAACGTTGTTTCAGTCGTAATAGACAATGTGGTTACATAAATTAAAGATTTTGCATATTGTTACATTTTTCAATAAAATTAATCGAATGTAGGACAGAATCAGCTCTATTAAAATCAATTTGCTTCTTCTTATTTATTTTATTTTATTTTTGTTGTTGTTGTTGTCTGAAAACAAGAATCAAGATTTTCGCGGCTCAATAACAATCTCTTTGAGAGGATGGAATTTAATTAGAAGAATATATTTAAACTGTTGACATAAGTTTAACAGTAAGTGTCCTCATTCATAAATAATCTGCAGCCTAGCTGGACAAACAAGTTGGACATTCACACAATAATTTGATTTATAAAATCTAGTGTATATTTTGGACGCAAAAGTGTAACCCCCCCCCCCCTACATCCGCCAGAGAATACTCGGTAAATAAGAACTGCAATATGTATACATCTCCAGTAAAATATCATTTTCAAAAACTTGCCTATCAAAATGATTTTTAAGTTTGATGCACAGGCTACATGCAGTCCAATGCAGTGTTTTCAGACATTCGAATCCTAGTAAAATAAGCTTTATGTTACATATCTACACATTCTGTTTAAAATATCTTTCTCATGGTTGGTAATACAAAATAAAAAGGGGGATTTACGTGGTAGATGATGCATATCAAGTAATCATTTATAGTACACATTCCATCGAATTGATAAATTAATGTTAATTTCGAATAAGTTTTTCAGTAAAAATAGAGGATTTCTATTATATGTATTGGGTGGTCGGTGGTTTTACATGTTTTATAATGCATGTATGTGTAATATGATTCGAGTCTAATTTTAATCTTTACAATAAAAGTCTTGTCAAAAGAAGGGGAATATTTTTTCTTTTTCTGTGGTAAATGACCAAGTAAGTGAAATTTGGAACAATGAAATCTTCAATAGGATAGATTACAAATCTTATGGGAACAGGTAGGGGAAACCCTGTATTTTCTGGGGTATACATAATCTACAGACGGATATAATTGATGTTTTTCTGTCTCAGAGTACTACTGTTACATCTAGTAAAGTAAAGGATCAAATATATTTCACTAGATCATGAACCTTTCTTTAACTTTTACAACTAATGAATTTGGTAAAGATAACGAATAATGATCTTTAAAAAAAAAAGGCAAACGAAATGCCTATAGTGCGACAAAATAAAATTTCAAATATCAACATTTTTTAATGCGTCATCTAAAATTACCGAATACAATACTTTATATAAAACCTCTACAAAGTGCGAACTTATTATCAAAAGTTAAATTTATTATTATGAAATTAATGAATGCCATTATGAAATAGCATTCACACACGAATGAGGGCAAAATGATAATATTCTCACAAAATAGCACAATTTTTCGATATGGGTGAGTCTTTTCTTTATTTCTTAAATGTACATTTTTGGTTAACAATAAGAAATGGAGCAAAATCCAACTAAACCTTAAAAATACAATTGTATGACAAAACATATGAACTTTACTCCAAAATCATTTTTCACAAATTGAACATGATGTTTATATTTCTAAGAGTTATAAAGCCATTCTTTATACCTTTTTACCCATCTTCTATATAGAAAAAACATACACGTGTATATTTAGAAAATACACTTGTATGACAAAATATAAGAACTTTACTCTTCATTATTCACAAATTGAACATAATGTTTATAATTCTAAAAGTAAAGGCATTTTTTTATTGTTTACCCATCTTTTTTACAATACAAATCTGTAAACCCCTGGAATAATGAAATCTCAAAAAAAAGGTAATATTTTCTTAAAGCTTGACAAGTCAATTGAAATATACGATTGAGTACAAATGATTTGTTTAAATTATATCACGTTTAACTTAAATTATAATAAATAAAGCGTTTCGGAGATACCTTGACAAAAGTTGAGAGATAGCCATATTCACAAAAATAGAGAACTTAAAGCAGGTAGATAAATCTATTTTATTGACTTCGTTATGTTATTTTTTATATAATGTTGTTAATTTAAATCATCTAATCATCCTTGTATACTTCGTAAATTTTCATGCACCACAATAGATCTTATTTATTTTCTGAAGAAAAGTACACAATTGACATACTTAATACATACAGTATATTTTTAAAAGTCTCATATTACGTTTAAGCGTCTCATTGTTCGACCTACATATCACAAATTTGTGTGATTCTTCATGAATTTTTATAAAATTTCCTTCAGTCTAAATATTTAAAACATCGCATCACATTTATGTACAAAATGGTTTTAAATAACAACAATTAAGCGATGATGTATCTCATCCCCATACACATTTATTTGTAGTCATAGTAACTAAACAGACACGAAGAAAAGAGACAACGATTTAAGGTAAGATTTTAACACTACAAGTATATAATCATTACAAACGAAACTTGCATTTTGTTAGGAACAAAGTGCTTGTGTATATATTTATCAAGCGAGGCACTGCTATTTCCAGAACTCTTCTCATCACATGTGCAATGTAAGCAAAAAACCAAATAGTCCTTTGAATAGTACTGTTCTGTAGACGTACACGTCGTAGAATTTTCATATCGTTTGTGGGATCGAGAGTGATGCTGGATTTCAGAGCATCTCTTGATTTCACAAAGTAGTAAGTAGTCGAATCATTTTTAAGATTAGGATAAGTGGTGTACTGAGATAGAGTTTGGAATTTCTATTGATTTCATCCAGGAACCCAATAAGGGACCAAAACAATATCAGCCAAACCAAATTCAATCCGCAGAGTTTCTCTTTCAGTTAGAGCAGTATCCGAAGCATCTTTTAGAATTTCTTTCTTTGACGAGTGTTTTCCCTTACTTTAAAACTCCGCCATTTGCCGTTGGAGGGCTGCAGATTTGGTGCACTCTCAGCGCTCGTGGTCTTTGAGCTGCACCTCTAGAAAAACCTGCTATAAACACCATACGGGCAACACTTTGGAATATGAATGGTGGTGGCAGTACTGAGAGAAATTTAGAGAAATACACATACCTTGTATCATGTCATTATATGTTTTCTTAAATTACTTTACTTGGTAGCTGCAGGCAGTAAATACAGAAGATTATTCAGATATTCAGGGATGGCTTTGATTTTATATCTTGCCTTGGTCTTCCAATTGTCAGTGAGAGTTGTGACAGAAGACATCAACTCCTTGACAGGTCTCAAATTTTCACAGGAACTTAAAGTAATCGAAGAAAAGGGAATATGTGCTCCAAGTCTACAGGTAAATTACATCTTAGCATTGAAAATATACATCTAGAAGTACTCATTCAAAAGGTATTACGTTGACTAATAATATCTTTTATATATATATATATATATACAATAAAATATTTATTTTCACTGTTTCGTACATGTTTACAGCATATCTTTATAACATTTATATGTAATTGCCTTTTATGTGCAGAAGTACTACGATACCTTACTTTACGACAGATCAAAAGATACGGCTGCAATAATATCTCAAAATGTAAGTATGTTCGAAAAGGTATTGGCTTTCGTCTTGGCGTCAGGTGGCAGGGGACATTCTTTTGACAATCAAAACGTTTGGCTGACGTTGTCCGTAACAACATGTATTAGGCTGCTTGTAAAAAAAATTAATAAAAATTCTCGATACATTTAACAAAAGCAAGTTTTTGTCCTTTGAGGAATTCATAAAATGGGAATTCTTTTAAGAAAAAACATTGGACAATTACAAATTGACCAAATAATAACACATAGGCAATCTCAAAATTTCATGAATATTTAATATTTTATCACTACTTCGCTACTCTAGCAGCAAAACTTTTAACAAGAAGTGATGTTAAACCAAAATTTTGTCAATCCACAAATCATTCTATACTCATTGCCTTTTTAAAGCAAATCACACAAAAATTTTATTCAAATATTTGTATTTCCCATTTCCTATGAATAGATATAAAAACCGTGTCATTATATGTAGTAAAATATACAAGGCCCCTAATTCCCTTCAAATGCAAACAAAAAATTTCTACCAGAAAAACAACTTCTGAATAATTTTATATGCATTAAAAACTGTACATCATTACATTTAGATAATTTTGGTTAAAGGTGGTCCATATTGAAAATGTTGAAAATATGTATTTAATTTTTCTCTAAAATTATTTCAAGATTCATCTATCTGTCTGTAAACAATTTTTCATTCTACGACTTCGTACAGTTTTGATTGCTGGATTGAAAACATCTATATAACTTGGCACACAGTGTGTGTTTATTGATACATTTTTATTTTTTTTCTCTCTGTGCATTTTTACCATGTTTTCTTTTATTATGTTATAATACATGAATAAATAATGTAAGAGATATATAATACACCTGACAGTTTTGGTTTGATTTCAGTATAACTTGGCACACAAGTAGACTACACTAAGATACACAATTCTGTGTATCGGTTTTTGATTTCGATGAACAGTGTTGTCCTGGTTACTAGAAATAAAAATTTCTGTGAAATACTTTCAAAATGCTACTCCTCCTTCAGTTTTGTTCTGATTTCAAAATAACTTGGCACACAAGTAGACTACAATAAGATACATAATTCTGTATATCAGTTTTTGATTTTGATGAACGGTGTTGCCCTGGTGACTAAAAATAGAAATTTCTGTGAAATACTTTCAAAATGCTACTCCTCCTACAGTTTTGGTCTTGGCACATAAGGAGACTACACTAAGATACATAATTCTGTGTATCGGTTTTTGATTTCAATGAACAGTGTTGCTATGGTTACTAAAATTGAAAATACTGTAAAAATGTATTAAAAGCTACTCCTACAGCTGTAGTTTTATTGCAATATCTTGCCACAAAAAGAGCTCGATCAAGCATCATTATTCTTTTTATTGCTGTTGTAAATTTTCAAGTCCCAACTGCTACTTTTCTCTTCATTTGTTATTAGTACAAACCAGTAGAGCTTCAGTCTCGACAGAGACGTCTGGTTTCTAATTTTTGACGGTGCATAATCCGAAACTTTCCTCTGCCATCTTACATAGTACATGTCATCTAGTATTCGATTGACAAGTCATTCAATAATTTTTGTTATAATTACTCGATCTAGGAATTAACACTATCTATCATTTGGAGAGTATAAAAAGTAATGGAAAGTGTTTTACACCTATAAACCAAGACCAGATCATTGGAAATCTAGATTAAAATTGAAACAATCATTATTACATGGTGACATTATACATGTTCATACCATATTATATCAAATTTTGCTATTTAGAATGCATCATATTGACTCGAAATAGATTCTTCATAATTTTTTCTCCTCTTGAATAATTCTTTTATAAATATTTGTACATGTATAGGGATTAATCTCTTTGAGGCAAACACATTTTATCTAAAAAATGAAATGTTTACCGCTAAACCACAAAACTCATTATATACATATCGGAATCTAGATATTCATTAAGTGAATTAATTTATATATATATATATAAATGACATTTTAAATATACAGTAATTATCTGCATTCAATATTCAAATATTTATCTTCATGCATCTGAATTTCAAACGTTGAAAATTTATTTATTTGTTTTTACTTTCATTGTATGAATCTGTACTTGAAACACAAAATTGTCATTCTTTTTTCACTAGATGGCCGAAAAACTAAAAGAAACATTTAAAATCTTAACAGACCAACTTAAAGAACTAAAACAGGTTATAGCAGAAGAATACCGTAATTTTGCTCATACTGATACTGGAGTTTTTCCAGAATGTTGCAAAGTGGGCGGAATTTACAATCCAAAGTTCAGAACAAAGGTGAGTTTCTTTTAGGAGAATATCATACAGAACTGATTCCTTAAAAATTGGAACTCGCAAATTTTCATATTTTATGTTTGGTCGTCTATAAAAATTACTTGGTTAATTATTTTGATTCTTCATACAAGTATTTTGATGTTATTGACAAGATGCTGAAGTTCCTTATTGACAATAACTGGAATTTTTGGAGACCAAGGCTTTCAACAATGTGTTAGAAATCCAATGGGAACTTATTGTGTTCCTTATTTCCAGAATTGATTTTTATCCCCATATGCATAAAGATTGATTTATTTTTCTCTTAGACTTCAGGTGAAGAAAACCTTTTGCTGTGCCCTTATTTATTCATTTGTCGACTCGAAAGTGAACTTAAAATAAAAACTATCCTGCCATATATGTTTCATATCTGCATGTTTTACAAATAATGTCCGAGCTGTATCACAAAAAAGTATGAATTCAGCTTTTCAATCGCCAAATTTCTTTATCTGTAGTAATATAGTTATATTCGACTTTCACCTGCATGTGGTGTTCAAGCCTCCCATCTCATTCGATACACACAAACAGGGTCAATTTTTAAATTTGCGATCATTTTTTAAACTGAAATTGTTGAATTTGTTATAACAATGTTTAAATACGATTCAAATTTGTTAATGTTATAATACAGATTTTGGAGAACGAGGCCTGTATATCAAAATCCTTAACATCAAACCAATTTCCAAGCGAAGGAATTAAAACCAAAATGGGAGAGAATTACAGCTTGAATCCTAATATGCTTTGGCAGTACTTTGCTGGAAGTGACGGGACCTTCCTTATCTACCCCGCACATTCTCAGAGCAAGAAATGTGACTCATACGATCCGAGATTTAAGTGAGTCTAAGTGCATTTCTTCAGTATGGATATTCATATAATGTTTTTTTTTGCGCTTAAGACAATTATATATTTTTAAAAAAATCTTTTCTAGCCTTTACCCCAATTGCAGGGTGAACAAGAAAACTTTAAAAAATCACATTTTCACGGCAATACTAATCATACTCTTAAAGATGAGATGGGACTACTGCTTGAAACGTATGAGTGTGAGTCGTGTAGGGAAGAAGATACATGTAGTGACAGACGAACCAAGATATCAATATTACTAAACTTTGTTTAGATATTGCGGGTATATTAAAACTCAATTCAACATATTATATTAAAATTTAATTGCTTCCAAACAGGATCGGTTAAACACTTGTTAACTCTTACCATAAGTTTCAATAAGTTTGAAAACAAAACTCGTAACGGTTATATCTTGCAGGTTAAGATAAACTAGATTAACTTAATTTGGTTTGGATTTTCCTACACTAAGCACCACAAGAACAACATGAATTGCTCAGTAAGCATTAACTTGCATCATCGGTAGTAAATCAACAAGGGCACAACAAAGCGGAGCATACCCACGGAAAGGAGCATAGAGTGTATCTATGAATCAAGGCAGCATTCTACATCGATCTCGATGCAAATTACGTCACTTCCGAACAAACTACCCCCCCCCTCCCACACACACAAACAAACAAGCGCGTTACCATACCCCCTTTACTTTGTTGCGAGGAGTTAAATTAAGCCATGCACTCGATTGTGAATAATCCCATTTATAAATATTGTTTGAATATATAAATATATATCAAGAATTAAAATCTGTTTATTTTTCAGGCATTATTACGTAGCTTCGGTGACAAACAAACCAAAAGATGTGGTTGTCGCAGTTGACGTCTCGGAAGTTACTGGAACAAAACGTAGTAACTACAATGCTCACTCACTGTTATTTGTGGCACGCGAGGCTGTGCAGAACGTTATCAATACCTTGAGTCCCAATGATAGGGTAAAGTTACATCCCTCTTCATTATATAGGTTTTAGTAAAAGATTAAAACCTATCACACCAGCATAAGAAATATACATCTGTATCTGGGGTTTTACAAATGGATACTGTTAGGAGATTCGGAAAGTTGTTCATATGAAGCATTAATTAGCGTATTTAAAGGAAAGAGCTAAATGTCAAATTTACAGTCCAGAGTTACGTAAAACGTATATTTGATTGCTTTTGTGTGATTATTTCGATTTTGGCCCATTTTTCTTTTAATGTCAGAGGCTCAAGTAAATTTTTCCTAAGGTTTCGTCAAAGGTCAATATGTTCAAAAATTTGATTTTACAATACAATGTAGCTACAAATCATTCTGAGGTGTAAAGTAGAACTTGTACAGTTTAAAATTATATCATTGATAAATAGATAGAAAGTATCACTTCAAAACAAATATTTTAAAAAATAATTTTTTTTAGAAAAAAATGTATGAAGAAATTTTCATATTTAAAATAAAATGCACCAGCTTAATTCTGTACCGGGTACTTTAAAGATATGTATGCCGTGTTAAACAGTATTTTTGCACAGGTGAAACCGAACAAAAATTTCTGGAGTATGATAAGCTACCAAAAATGAAGCATTCTTGCAAATTCGACGAAATTTTATTCGGTATTAACAAAGTACTTGTCAGGAAAAGAACACGATATTCTCATGCATATTTATAAAGGACTGACGTTTATCCTGGATCTGCGCATGTGCGCGGGAAAAGCATCGCGAGAATCATCAGGTCTAGGAAAATATTTTTGTGACGTCTGTTCAGTAAGGGACACAAATAGACCAATCAGCTCAATGAGTTGCATTTAATGCATTTATGGGTTACTACATAAAATACTACGTGTTTTTTCAAAAAGGCTAGTTTTTTAAATCGCTCTCAGAAAGACTTGATGCATTATGTACATTATTATCTACTAATCCCATGCTCATATTTGCATACAAATGATTAACAATGATGAAAATTTAAGTTTTCCCCACTCCATTGTACAGGTCCGTTTGTTTAGAGATTCCCCGTGCTGTACTGCTAGTGGACATTTTCGGTTGGGTGAACATTTACGGATCTTCAGTATGGAGCGCATTATGCGCAAAAAATATTTTATGTCAAGTACAATGTATGGAAAGTAATTTAAAATGCTATATTTACACCCTGAATGGGATATCGTCAAATATTTCCATTTCTTATTTTTGTCTCTGTGATAACTCTTTGAAACTTAGCGGAGATAATTTTTGATAAACCTGCCGGAATGTAAATTAGGCAGGTCGAAAGGTCGGGAGCTAGGGAGGCCTAACATGCATGCAAATCTCGTGCGCATCTGTCTCTGTGTCTGACGCTAAGGATGCCAAATATGCATGAAAATCTCGTGCGGCTGCCTTTGTGGTTAATGTCAGTGAGAGAGGGCTATGGAAATTGGCATGGAAGTCCTCGTGTAATTTAAAATTATTAGTCTACATTTTAATGTCTAAGTCTACAATTTTATTTCACAATGAAATGGAAATATAAGGAATCACTGTCTAGTTATGAGAGTATGCCAGGGACATCAACAATAGTGGGAAACATGGGATAATTTTAGCATAACGGGCTTCGCCCGTTATGCAAATTATCCCATGTTTCCCACTATTGTTGATGCCCTGGCATACTCTCAAAACTAGACAGTGATTCCTTAATTATCCCTTTGGGTTTTTTTAATATGAACTACATAACATATTTAGATGAAACTTACATACCATACATCTTGCCTTCTTAGAAATATAGTTGGGCTAATAAAATAAAATTGGTCAAGGAATTCCAGGCCTCTAAAAACTATTCCAGTTTGAGGGCACAACCAAGCATTTCGATGAACACCATTAAGAAATATTAATTCAGGTAGGTAGCATCGTTTTTTAAAAGTGGGTGGGGGGATAGAACAGTTAGAATAAAGATCAACTAGCTCGAAGTAAGATAGGTTCCAATATCGTTCACTGCTAAATTTTATTCATTCACTACAATTTACTGCCAAACTCCAAATTTCACTTTCGAATTAGCCCGAGCCAATGCTGATAACCTTAGTACTTGCAAGATTTTTTATATTATTTTCAAGGGATCAGAAATACTGTGGTTCATATGTAAAGAATATAATTATATTATTTAGTAGTATTCTGGTTTTGGCATTCGGTATATTGTGCAGATTTATACATGTTATTCTGTGGAATACTTTTTGTTGTTTTGAACCATTAAGAAATGCAGAATCGAATGTATCTAATAACCATTTTGATTGATCAAATTATATCGTTTATTTTGTATTAGCTATTTCATTTTGGCACAACATGGTTTCCACACTTCTGAGGTGCTCTCAATATTGACAATCCCTAACTCACGTTTTTGTAGTAAAAACGTAGTAGACCATCATGCTTTTCGGTTCATTCACGAGATTGGACCATTGTTTGCTGTAAACATGCGAGACAACGTGATCATGAATATTTCAATAAGAGGTGGTTTTTTATCCGACACGGAGAGAAAATAATTTTTACCAAATAATATTTCATAACTTTTAAAAGTGATGGAGTGGAATTGTCTTATTTGCAGAAAGTATATAACTTATATAACTTGATGATTCACCACATATATTTATTACTTTTAAAATAAAACACTAATACGGCATATATAGCTTTAAGTGAAAACCATCATTGCAGAAATAATTTATGTTTATAAACGAAGGGTAAGTTGGACGTGAATGGTCTCTGAAAGGCTGCTTTTGAAAGCATGACATGTATAAAGACAAGACCCCTATAAAATCCGCCATTTGCAATGTACTTTCGGTTTCAAATCTTACCATTCGGAAAAAATAAACTGGGAAAACAACTTTCAAGAGGCTATCTAAGTCCAACTTGCCCTTCATTGATAAACATACATGTATACTGTTTCTGCAATGATGGCTTTCACTAAAAGTACGGAATTAATTAGGTGTACATGTATTTTTTAAAAATATATACATTTTTTAAAATTACTTTTTCTCAATAAATATATTTTTCAAAGTATTTGTGATCAAATGATACTTTTTATCTGTTAATCAATGATATACATGTAATTAAAAACTGTAAAAGTTTTAACTTTATAAACCACAGTTTTGGAGCTGTTGTAAAAATAAATTTTTGGACATTTTGACTTTTGACGAAACCTTAACTAAATTTGTCTGTCCCGTCTGTTTTACGTCTGTGAACTTTAACATTTTCGACTTCTCCAGAAAGAAAAGGGCAAAGATAACGAACAGTAATCGATCTTAAAAATTAGTAAGGCAACATAAATCTGCAAAAAGGGCATGAACAAGGACCCCAGGAAATCCCAGAGGTCGGATCAGGTGCCTAGGAGTAGTCAGAATCCTTTTTCGACCTGTCACATCCGCCGTGAGCCCTATATGTCGATCAGATAGACGGGACATTCCGTTGTCAAATTCAGTATAACAAAAAGTCTCTGATGGGACTGTAGCTCTACTGGTCTACGTATGACAACAGAAAAGGCAGTAATAAATAGAATTATGAACCATAGTGTACTCCAGCATGCTAGAGGTTCACGGCGAGATACTTTTGACTTGGCGCCGCGTAACCTCTAGCATCCATTGTAAAAATTCTCGCCGCTGAAACTCCAAGTGGAAATAAATTATTTTATTAAGAAATGAGGCTTTGTATATTAACGAATGGTACGAAATAATAAAATATTCAATATTTACGAATAAACTTACGCATAAAACACTGTTAACCTCTCGTATTAGCAATAAATCCATTATTTTTTAAATCGAAGCAGAAATTGAAACAAGTCGTCTGTTTAAAATTCGGAAATGGAATTCAGAAAATCTGACGAAACGAAACTAGTGTAATGCAACGAAAATTTCGTTTTCTGACAAGCAATCCGCAAAATTAATGTGAAGTCAAATCGAAAGTACTTCTGGTGACAAATTGGAATAATGACAATTTTCATTAATTAACAATGATGCACACTGAATAAATTGGATTTTATTATTTCTTGTGACTTTCATACCCCATGCAAACACGTAGGTACCTGAAAATTACTTGTTAACAGTTTATTTCACGCATAATACGTTCCGCCCAAAATCTCAGGCGGAACGAGCTCGTTAGAAAATGGCCTTCGGATGTAAGAGTCCGAGGTATATAAGGAGCGTAGGGACGTTAACCGAGGCTCTTACTTGTAGGAGTAAACCATAGTGTAGTCCATTCATATGCTTATTTTGATTTCTGTAAAACCAAAGCTGTAGGAGAAGTAGTGTTTTGAAAATATTTCAAAGAAATTTCTTTTTTTAGAAACCATGATAACACCGTTCATTGAAAACAAAAACCAATGCACTAAATAATGTACCTTTGTAAAATCTACTCGTGTGTGCCAAGTTTTATTGAAATCAGAAGAAGAGTTTTAAAAGAATTTCAAAAGAAATTTCTATTTTTAGTCTCCATGGCAACAAGATTCATGGAAATCAAAAACCGGTGCAGTAAATTATATACCTTAATGTTGTCTACTTGTTTGTCTGTTTGTCTGGTTATAAGCCTATTGAAATCAGACCAAATTTGTAGGAGGAGTAGCATTTCAAAGGAATTTCACAGAAACTTTATAGTAACCAAGATAACAACACAAACGATACATTAAATTATATTTAAATTCAGTGTAATTTTCTTTATAAAATCCTTTAGAAATTCACGACGTTCAAATGTCTATAATGTCTATAACCTTGTCACCGCGCGGTAGAATACACAGTAAGAACTATATACATTTTCATTACTCTAGGAACGCCAAAATGTTTATTGTTTTGACCAATTTAATAAAACAACTACATGTATCCTGTAAAATTAACGCAAAAAATACAAGTGTTCGTTTAAAATTAATTTGTCATTTTCCCCCTCGCAATGTTTATTTCCAACTTCAGAAACGGCTTTTACGTCTTAACAACAGTTCTGAAAAGCGCTAAATTCATAATAAAGATTGATGAATCGACAATAATGAAGAAAGAAAATTAGAGAATGTAATATAAGGCCGGAATTAAAAATATCTTTGTTTCCCCTAACCCGACCCTAAATTTTCAAGTTGGGTCGGTAGGTAGGTAAACAATTTTATTTTCTGACAGCAGCTTTGAAAATACATTCTAAATTTAATGGAAAATTACCTTTATGAATAAGAAAAGTACAAAAGAAAGCGGTTTGTGAACAAAATGCTAAGTACACTGTATCATACATATGCAGTTTAAAAGCAAAATTCATGATTTATTAATTTAAAACTGTTACATATGAATTGTGAAATATCTCATGCCAGAGTACATTTATATAAATCGAATAAAAAAGACAAGTTTTTCAAATACGCAAAGACCGGACATCCGAGTAATATTTTTTCAAACCTTCCCTCAGCCTCTGGTGCTTATATAGACAATCAATGTACTTTTTTGAGGGCCATGAGATTTGCAGTGGTTCTGGAGCATTTTGCTTTGGAGTTAAGATGTAAGTAGCTGATTAAAGGTTGCAGGTTCAAATCCCAATGAGGAACGTTGAATACGGTCTTTCAAAAGGAACCGTAAAGCATAACACAGTGTTGCAGAAGATGCTGGCTCATAAAAGATCCCCCACTGCTTAATGGCAAAAAATGTGCCGAGCACGTCTAAATTCGGAACAATGGGGAAATGTTCAAATGTCGTCCCAACAAATCTCAAAGGAATTAAAAGCATCTAAACAACCAATCTTCAAGGGCCTGATTACAGAAAAATACATGGACGTCTCAGGAACCTGAATCATGATTTAAAACTATTTGGAAAGAGTATGTAAACAATCTTTAGTTGAACCAAACCGAATCTACAAATGAAAAAAATTCTATTTACCGGTTCAATGAAATAGTCACGAAGTTTGACCCATGCATAAAGGCATGAAGGTCTGAATTATATTTATCAGGATGAATATGCAGACATATTTACAACAACTCTTATGGTTCCATAATGACATATAGTAAACATAGGAACATAGATGAACTGGTTATTAGATCAAAACTCAAAATGTATCATAGTTTAGTCTATTTGTGTGCCAAGTTATATTAAACTCATGCCAAAACTATATGAGGAATAGCGTTTTAAATAAAGGAATTTCACAGACATTTCTATTTTCAGTAAACGTGACAACACCGTTCATCATAATCAAAAACCGATGCTCTAAATTATGTACAGTGTAGTGTGGTCTTCTTGTGTGCCAAGTTATATTGAAATCAAACCAAAACTCCGAGAGGAGTAGCGTTACAACGTTCTTCGAAATCAAAAACTGATGTACTAAACTGTGTATCATAGTGTAGTTAACGTTATATTGAAATCAAAAGAGGATTAGCGTTTCAAGGGGGCCGACTGGGGTTTTATTGTGTTAAAACTACAATAGCGAAAATCTTCATTTTTATACCATATATAACTTACATTAGCTTCAGTGTACATGCCAAGTTTGGGGAAATCTACCGTCCAGGTATTTTTAAGTGACTGTCTCAAAATACAGATACATTTACTATAGGATTATATAGGAAAGTGCCAATTTTTCACACTTTAAAGCAAATTATACAAATACTACACTAGACTTTTTTGCTTAATGGTGAGTAATACTATATTGTACATTATATGTAAGAAATACAAAACTCTACTGTCTTGTTACCAGAGGGAGCATCTCAAAATACTAAAAATTAACGAATTTTCCTGTTTTTATAGAGTACTACAATATATATATATATATATATATGAAAAAATTATGAAAATAACGGAGAAATTCTCAAAATTCTATGTTTTAAATCGTATGATTATTACTTTTTCTTTAATAACATTTTTATTACCCTTTCTTTATGAGCTTCATTTTATCAAAAACACACTATAACGATGTCAACCAACTATCAGTTGCAAAATCTTTTTTTAAAATCATGTATATAAAATTGTAATTACATTTTTAAACCTGTTATTTCTTAATTTTGTTTAATTTTATAAATAAACTGGAAAAGAATGCTTTAAAACAATAAATACGCTTTATTTTACTATGATGCGCCAAATATTGCACAATGAAAACCCCGGCCCAGTCGGCCCCCTTATTAAAAGAGAGAGATAACAGAACTTTCTATTTTAGTAAGCATGACAACACCATTCATCAAAATCAAAAACCAGAGCTCTAAATTAGGTATCTTAGTGTAGTCTTCTTGTGTGCCAAGTTATATTGAAATTATAGTCCAAACTGGGAGAGGAGTAGCGTTTATAAGGAATTTTACAGAAGCTTCCATTTTCAGTAATCTTGACAACACCGTACATCGAATCAAAAACCGATGCAATTTGGCTAAAACTGTAAGAAGAGTAACATTTTTAATAAGTTTACAGACAGACAGACGACGAACACCTTTCTATTGCATAAGCTCTTCTGGTCTCTGACTAGTAGAGCTAAAAGAAAGGCTTAAGAATTAGTAAGAAATTGGCTCCAACTACTGTTTGCAAAGGTCCGCATTGCCTCTGCTAACAACTTATATCGTATAAATAGATTTTGAGTATGATAACTGTTTTTTATCTTCACATTTCTTGCACTGTAAACAACGAGTAGACAGACGGACAAACAATGAAAAACATGAAAGGAAACCAATATCAAAAGCAATGATTGAGAAAGGTGTATTTTTTTATTAATACCATCTTCAGATTGGGTTAGTGGCATTCAGTGATAAAGTCAGCACCCCAGCATTGTGCAATGGCACAAAATTAGCCTGGGCAACAACTGAAAACAAACATGCACTAAATAGCTTCACCAATTTATGGACAACTGACAAGCATCCCCATTACGACCAGGGAATCCGGACAGCCTTCTCATTTTTTGATAGTAATGCCATGAAAACAACTGGGAATGAAAGAGGTATGAAGATTTTTTTCTAAACTTATACCGGTATATATGCTACATTTCCCACCATTAGGTGACTCCTGCGACTCTGATTAACTATTTACAGCTTTGAAAAATTATAATATCTCAAAATTGTTTCAGATAATCTTGGATCAGTATCATGACACAAGTAGGGCTTAAATGTTTATACATATATTTTTTTAGTTATTTTATTTTTTGCAAAGTTATGAAAAATGGCTTGTACTTAGGTCATAATTTGAACAATATGAATCTGATTTGAACATATATTTTTATGTAAATATTATTTATTATTATGTAATAATGCATAAACGTATTGGGAAGCAGGTATAGCCTACATAAGCCCTTTCCACATCAATTTATACAGTTTGAATCTGTGGATGCATAAATATTAACATCACTATTTTAGAAGATTTTGAAACACCGTCTATATATGACTTTTAAAAGTAAAGCTCTAATTTCATTTTGTAAATCTGCCCAAAATTAAGAATCATTTGAGTATTTGTAATAACTTCATTTTTTCACCTATTCTAGGTCATTTTATACCCTCTTTTAAAAATTATGCCAACAATTTTTCTCAGTTTCTTAATTTTCAACCCCTCCCACCCTGAAAGACGGTTAGGCCTATCATATGAAGAACATACCTCATGCTCTTCAAATAAAGGATGCTTTGTGACCATGGCCATAGGAACCGGGGAATCTAGGGGGGCAATAATAATAGCTATTAAATGCTTGTACCCCTTCAATAATAACATCTGATGAATTTTTTGCTTAATTAATGTCGAGGGTTTTTTATTTGAGTTGATAGTACCCCAAACTGAACATGTATGGTTGTACCCCCCCCCCCCCACCTCCAATTGAAATTGCTTCCTACGGTCCTAGTATTATAAATAGCATTTATTTTGTATAATTCTTTTTTAGACTCTGTTATTTTGTTTTTGGCTGCTGACGATAATGCAGGAAATGACCCGGTGGATGTCATCAAAGCTGAGAACGAGGCTCGGAATAATTCGGTCATGATTCTTACATATTCATTTGGACGAGGTTAATATACTACAAAAAATAATCAAATAAAGATAAAAAATATTATGATTATGATTCATAGGACAACATAAAATTTCGTTGTTTAATTGAAAATACAGGTTAGTCAGTCCTATTATTCCCATAGGTCCGTGTTTTGCTCCAATACGATTTGTTTTGACTTAAAATTGATCATTGTTCGTAATTTTCATTTAAACATTATTGTTTCTATCAATATATAATTTAATTTCAATATTTCAGCATTAAAAGTTTATTATGCATTTAAGTCAAGTTACAAATTGTAACCTTGTAGAAGTTTATTTGCTTTGTCTCCATGACGCAGAAGGTGCTGACACAAAAGATTGGATCCCCACTTCTAAATGGCCTTGGTTGCCGAGTATAGGTCTTAATTTACAGCCCTCCATCGGCATATGGTGTAATTGCGATAAAAAAAAAAGAATTCTCAGAAAGGGACGCTAAACAAAGAAAAACGTTGACCGAAAAATTTTGACTCCAGTCAAATTAAATGGGAAAAGATTCACAAAGGCTTGGATCTTCATTAGATAAGGATTTTTGCAACAGTGCTTATTGTTGTCATTCCCTTAAAATCATTTTCCTCTAATATAATTTATATATTAATTATATATTAGTTAACTGTTCATTTGTATTAATGACTAGCATAGATGATGTCAAAATCCTAATGTACACTTTTATGATATAATTAATTCATATTCATGAGGAACATGAATTAAAGTGAGGCTTCCCTCATAGTCAGGCTAGAATGACGCCTTCTCCCGGGGGAAGTTCTGACCCCAGAGCGAGAAGATTCCTTGGGAAGGTTTGCTCTACAACACCTGTGTGAAGCCTCATAGTTCATTTAATCATAAATTTTCCAAAATTAAATTACTCAGCTATTTTTATCTTTATAGGTTTGAGTAACCATTCAAAAGGTCTTCTGTCTGATATGAGTAAACAAGTCAAGAATGATCGATCATTTGGATCAGTTAAGGTAAATCTGAGTTTGAATATGTTTTCTATCTATATCCTCCATGGGCCCTATAGATAGTTTTCAGTAGGCCCAAATTAACGTTATTTCATTGTTGGCCACCATATTGGGGGTCAACATGCTCATATTCTTTCATTATTTAACCAACTTAAAACATTTTGTTCTGGCAACAGTGGGGTGGGAAGCATTGTTTTTCTGAGAAGTATTCATTTGTCGGAGCTTCCTTTATTTCTTAATTTTTATTCCAAAAAGATTTTCCCAAAATATTTCTGCTACACATCTTTAATTTGGTAAGACAAAGAGGAAAAATTACCAGGTTGACCATCAAGATGGTGGGCATGCAAGGGAAATAACTCAGTGAGAAAATATATTATATGAAAACTATATATAGGTCACCTGAGACTCATGCAAATACATTCCAAATATTATTCAGTCAGCAATCCTCGGCTGACTCCGTTACGCTTCATTCAAACATCGGATGTGATTGGTTCCTGTTTTAAACGAGAGGCCATTTTTTAAAGAGACACCATTGCAAATTATAACTAGTGTTAATTGTAACGGGGACCGTTACAGATGTTCCCCAAACGCTCCCCAAATCCCTTTTTGTGCCTCATTCCTGTAATACTTTTTTTATTTGCTTAGTATCGAAGGATTTCATTTAAGAATAAAAAAATTATAATGATATCAACTATATATGTCATTTAACTTTTGCATGCGCGCGCACGTTCATACATATACAAGATGATCATGGAATGTTGGCTACACGGTTAACATATTTTTATATACTAAAAATCAAGAAAAAAAATGATACAAATATAAATGTTACCATTTTTCAAGTATAATCATTTTGCGCATGCGCATGCATGTCTTTGCAATCAATTTTGATAGTAGCATAATGTGGGAATCCATTACACCTATTCATATTCTAAATGTCATCCCGTTCTGTTGAAAATTAAGAAAGTTATAGGCATTTAAAGTTTCGGCCAATCAGATTGCAGCACACGTGTATGCGCATGCTTTCATGATAATTCTTATATGTCATCCTGTAGATCTTCATTATGTATGAAGATATTCAAAATTTCAAAGGATTTTGTCGAAAAACAAGAAAGATATTGAGACTTTAGTTTCAGCCAATCAGAGCGAAGCGCACGTGCATGCGCTTGAGATCTCGCTATTTTGACCATGTTACCATGTCTGTACTACTAATATATCCTCACATTATCAGTTTCAAAGCATTTCATAAAAAAAGTAGAAAAATTACGGCTATATCTATCATATTGGTCATTTCACGTGTTGCACGTGAGCGCTCTTGCAAGCACGTGCGCGCAAAATGACCTTGACTAGGCAAATCTACATAACATCTACTAACCCTAAAAAGGTTTTACCTACATCGGATGAACAGTTTACAAGATTATTCCCGGACAAAAAAGTACCCAGGAAGAAGAAGAAAAATAATAAGAAGAAGAAACAGAGTAAAAACAATATGTTCCCCAACTTCGTTTGGGGAACATAACTATATACATAGCATGCTCAATTTGATTACGTTGATTACTTAATACCCATTAGCAAATCGGAGGAAAAAAGAAATATGCTTTTTCACTATATAATCAGTAGTGTCCCGCTCCACAAGAACCATTGACCCTTGGGCCACATATTTCATAATTTCCGGAAAGGCACCTTTGCTCATCATACATGTTAGATTAATACCAAAGGACAGATTTTTTAAAGCATTAATTATGCCCCCCTTCGAAGAAGAAAGGGCAAATTGCTTTGCTGCAGTCTGTCGGTCGGTTCACAATCAATTTCCGATCATTTTCTTCGCAGAGGTTGCAAAAATTGAAATGAAATCAAGAGGATAAGATTTTCAAAGAATTAATACATTTTCACCATATAAATCGATAGAACCCTGCTCTAATACAAGAACCCTCATGAAATTCAAAATTTTGCGCCCTTCAATCCTCATCACAATTATATAATGGATTAATGGCTTAATATCCCGGACCAGAGAAGAAGACTTTCAAAGATTTAATGCATTTTCACTATATATTCAACAGAGCCCCGCTTTAGCACCAGAACCCCTGACCCAAGGTCCATGAAATTCACAATTTCTGAAGAGGCGCCCTTCCTTATCATAATTATATAATAGGTTATTGGCTTAATATCCCGGACCAGAGAAGAAGACTTTCAAAGATTTAATGCATTTTCACTATACATTCAACAGAGCCCTGCCCTAGCACCAGAACCCCTGACCCAAGGTCCATGAAATTCACTACTTTGATAAATTGCTCAATGATTATCACAATTATGCCAACAGTTTGACTGCTTGTTGTCAAGGAATAAAGAAGAAGAGTTTTAAAGATTGCATGAATTTTTTGTGGTTTTGGACCCACCCCTGGAGCCCCAGGGGGACAGGGACCATGAAATTCAGTTTTTGTTCCCCTTCATACATAGACAGTAAACACCAAAATTGGTTGAAATTGGCTCAGCTGTTTCAGAGAAGTTGAAAATGTTCAAAATTTAACGCACGACGGACGAAGCACGTCGACGAACGAAAACAAATAGCAATGGGTCACCTGAGGTGACTTAAAAATTATTTGTTCTATACTCAAAAGTAATTAACAAATAGTCTAACCACCCAATCCCAACCCCCAAAAAGGGTTCACAAATCAAGTTGTAGGTCTTATATCTCTTTGTATTAACATATGTTTGTCCCTATGATTATTAATTATCTTTCCATGTGTTTCTCAGGAGGGAATTTATCATGATCATGATTTAAAAAATGATTCATTGCTTCGTATTGTCATGGCTTCATATTATAAAGATCTCTTCTGCACTAATCTGGGGAATGATCCCATATTTTCCTTGCCATATGTTGATGAACGATCAAATAAAACAGGTATGCAATATCAAAAAAAATACCAATTTCTCGAAAGTATGGGAAGAAAATTGAACCAATTGTGAATCGTGTTCAAAATCATCAGAAACTGGGTGTGAATTGCAATTTTACGTTTAAGTTTTTTTTTAATCGACGCCTCAATCATTTATTTTATTATGACCTTTTAAAAATGATATTTAATTCATTAATTTTTTTTTTATTTTCAAAGCTTTAATAACATCTTTATGTCTCCCTGTGGACAATTTCGGGTTGACAGTAGGAGTCACGTGTACAGATGTTCTTTTGGACGAATTACTTACTGATAATACAAATTTCAAGCAAGGAGAACTCTCATACGCTTTCATGATAGATGGACAAGGCCGAGTAATGGTGCACTACCTACAACCGAAACCAAATGATCCAGATCCTATAGATATTCGCCAACTCGAGCAGAGTCCTGATGCAAAATCAATGATTGAGTCAATGAAAAGGTAATTATAAATCAAAATACAGATTGTACACTTAACTTTAATTTACAGGAGGATCCTCCATTTGAATATAGAAATTCAATTACCTCTTCTCAAGAATTGTTGCAATTGTTTATGTATTGAACTGTATTTTTTGGAAAGTTTTAGGCATTTTATTACGAGATTATAGTATAATTGGTTTTCTATCACATAATCCTTTTAATTGTTGAAAGATTAAAACCGTACGATATTTAACTCTGGACGCGACATTGTCCAGACTTTTACTACCATTTCTAATTGTGATATCCAAAATATATTGACATCATTTGGTGGGATTCTTTAGCAGTATTCCATGGTGTCATGTTGAACTCACAAACATCTCTTTTTTCCCATGGGAAAATGGTGGGATTTTCAGTCCCACCAACTTCCCACCATTCTCCAATGGGAGAAAAATGTCAGATGGGATATTTTCTCCCATGAATTTATTCAACTGGGATTCATCCCACGGATACTGACAATTAATTTTTTTCACAGTGTATGGGAGAAAATATCTCCCATGGGATTCTTAATTTGAGGACTTCATCTCTTTAGAAGAGGAGATGTTTGTGAGTTCAAATTGAGACTCTGGGATACTGCTAAGAAATCCCACCAAGTGATATAAAAAAAATTTGATATCACAGTTAGAAATCATAATAAAAAGTCTGGACAATATCGTGTCCAGAGTTAAATGTCGTACTATTTTAAGATTTCTAGAAAATTCTTTAACATTTTCCATAAAGCTGTTTCTGACTATATTCCAGGGGTGAGACTGGGAGTAAAACCTTTAGTTATACAAGAACAATATCTAGAGGGGTACTGGAATACGACGGAATCGAGACAAGGGTAGTGGAAGCAGATTACAGCTGGAGGAAGGTAAGATTTAATCCGAAATATCTGACTTTTTCTTGGCTTTTTTTCACGATTTTGATATTTTGCGTGTCAGGAAAACCGGCACTTAAAGTATTAAAATCTTGAAAATAGCCTGGAAAACATCAGATATGTCGGACTTGGTAAGATTATGATAAATCAATCATAGTATACTGTAGATCACTAGATTTTCGCGACACCTTATTTTCGCGAGATAGTCATTGACTCCTGATAAGCGAGACAAAATTTTCACGAAATGTGGTTATTGCTCTATATAATCTTATGGAATACTATCATATGCGAGAATTAAATTTTCGCGAGCACAGTGTCTCGCGTAATTACGCGAAAATAAAGTTCTCGCGAATAAAAAGTGATTTACAGTATTTATCTGATTTAAGATATAATTATGGAATTGTCTTCACATGTGATGAGGATGCCAAATATATATATGTCTGCCAAGGAATGTAAAGATTCAAACTCTAAAACGAATTAATTTGTATTATGTTCCATGCATGTTTATGACCAAATCCAAACCAATAGTCAAAGTGACGTTTTATATTATATTTATAAAATTCCATTAACATAAAAGTGCCTCGCTCTTTTCTTCAGTTTTTAAGTACAAAGGGCTGAGTTAACACATCAATAAATTCAGAAAAAAAGGCTTAATCTTATGTATAAAGACATTCTACTCTCATAAAACTTTTATATATCAAATACTAGTATACATTTTTTCCAAAAACGTTTATAGTAAAACACACTTAAAAAAATACTACATAATGCTTTTAAATCAATTTTTTTATAGATTCCAGGTACAAACTTTTCTTTGTGTGTTGTACTTGGGAAAAGTGACAAGCAATTACGCTTGCGGCGAGGCCAAGAACAGTTATCAACAGAGGGGATATTTTATTATCACAAACTTGGAATGAATAGTCAACAAACCCCCGCATTGTGAACATAACGGAAGAAATTCTACAAAAGGTATCTGAATGATTTATATGTTGTTTTATGTCTCATTCGAGAACTTTCGTTCATACAGATACGTCACTATATACCGCTCAAGGGCTTCAAATCTAACCTTTTACACGGCACTCAATGTCATTGTGCAATGAAGGAACTTTATCTTACCAACGTCTGCCATCACACGGACATCGGAGTTTAAGGTCTCATTCGATGTACCCGCAACTTTCACTTCAAAGTGTTAAATTTAGGTCAGTCGCGGCCGAGATTCAAACCCCACAACCTTCCTACCACAGGGCGAGCGCTCTACCGACTGATCTACCTTGACGGGCTAATATTATTGTCTACAGAAATACATGTATAGCGGAATAATCGACGTCATAGGCTAGTCTATGGGATTGATCAACCCGCTGTGTTTCTGTAAACAGTCAGTGACAAACCTAGCAAGACATTTATTTCTCGAGGGTCATAGTGTGAGAGACGTCTTCTCTTCAAATGGCCGCAACTCTAATTAAAAAAAACACCATGGAAAGTAGTTTCCGTTAACGTTATAATTAGTAAAGAAATGTAAACGCTTTGCGTCGGCCATATTGCAAGACATTAATTCTCAGCTTCCGGACATAGAAATAAAGACGACAGTCGTGTGTCGCGTTTAAATTAATGAATGTGCGACATTTCAATCTGAGGGAGAAGGTTTTTTGATAATTTGAATAAAGGAAAATTTGTTTTTGTTTTTTTTTTGCTCACACAATAGGGAAATAAAATAAGTATTTATGAAGATCTTTGATTAGTATATCCAAACAAAACAGTTTGTATAATATGAAATATTGCTTTCAATTGCCAACTGTATATCTACATCTTTTTTCATATGTAAAAACAACATTTTTATTTATCTAACAAAAGGGAGAACGCCAAAGATGATGCTTTTTAAACATATCAAGGGAAAATTTAATAATTTTCTTCGTTACAAATATCCAAACAAATATTTTGTATAATATGAAATAATGCTTTCAAATATCAATTGTATATCTTCATCTTTTTCCATTTGTAAAACATTTTTGTTTATAAATATGAGAGAAAACTTAAGATGATGATTTTTAAACATATCAATGAAAATCTTAATAATTTTTCTCGTTACAAGAGAAGTCAATGGTAATGCTGACTCCCCATGCCTTTGAAGAACCATACGAGTACCTCTACAGGACAGAGACAGCGGACGATGTGACCGAATACTCTAATTACCTAAACAATGCATATGGTCAGCAAGCTGACAAGGAACTGAAATTGAAAGTAACACCTCTTTTTACTTAATTTATCATGATCAACTACATTTGATTAATGCTTATATTAACTGATTAAGTAAAGTGCGAGAATCTACGTTGATTTTATTTTCAATCGTTCCACAAAATAATTTTCCAAGAAAACATGATTAGCATTTGGCAAAAAAGCCGAAAATGAACATGTACTTTTATCTTGAATTGCATACTTACAGATTTGCAAAGTAACATATTTCGTCTGATTTATGAAATACGAAATGTGAAGATAAACATACCTTGAGTATTTACATAATAATTTTTATTATGTAATACGCAATGATCATTTGTAATAGGATGATGTCAAAAGCAGCGTTCAAGCAACTTATATGGCGGAGGAATTCTGGAAACAGAACCAGGACCAATCACAGTTTGTAAAATGGCGTTACTTGGCAACTAGAGATGGACATCTGAGGGTCTATCCAGCGATTGAAATTTCCCAGGACTATGATCCTTTTACTAGGAATTGGTTAATTAAAAATGATACATTTATCAATAATGGAAAAGAAATTCAAATTTCTATAGATATACAATATGAATGGACTGTAAGTGATGAGAATCGTCAATATGTATAATAATCTGCAATGTTTCTAGGTGGAGAAAAACAGTGGCCCAAAAAGGCAAAAATGTTGTGATTTCTCCCTATATAGATAACTGGGGAGCTGGCTTTGTTGTGTCACAATGTAAAGCAATATTTGAAGGAAGGTATTAATTTTAAATATTCAAAGAAATACTTCTGGTTCTCATTTTTAGCTCTCGTGGTCGGAGACCAAATATAGCATATGCTTTAGTAAGTTCCGTCATTAGTCCGTCTGTCTGTCTCATTACAATTTTTCGAAATGTCACTCCTCCTACTGTTGATCTGATTTCAAAAGAACTTGGCACATAGCAAATTTCGTGTTTTTTTTTATTTCAATGAACGGTGTTGCCATGATTACTAAAAATAGAAATTTGAATTGCTACTCCTCCTACAGTTTTTGGTCTGATTTCAATATTCCTTAGCACACACATAGACAGCAAAAGGACAGATAATCTGTATATTTGTTTTTGATTTTAATAAACGGTGTTGCCATGGTTACATAAAATAGATATTTCTTTGTAATATTATCAAAATGCTACTTCTCCCACAGTTTTAATCTGATTGCAAGAAATCTTGCCAAAAAAAAAGACTAAACCAATGATCATTGTTTAAAACAATTTTTTGCTATCGTTAAGTTTCAATTTCAAATGTTACTTTGCGTTATAAATATAAACCCGTAGAGCCACAGTCTCGTCAGAGTTCTGGTTTAAAGTGTCTTAAATGAAGCATTTCACTCAATTAATATTTGTTGTTTTATTGTTCTTATATCATTATAGACCCGGAATAACCTTAAACATTTCATTTTTAAGAGCGAATGGTCTGCACTGTGCCGATGATATTGTAGATGTAGTTGTGTGCACCGATTACTCGTGTGAATATTTCAGCAACATGTTTTTGCAGAGCTACCCATTATGCCAAAAAAGACCGGACAGGTTTGTGTGATACATGAATATATATAAATGTCTGCAAAGAGAAAGACACCTTATCTATAAAAAGAATAGATTTCTTCTGTTAAGTGAGCCAACTGGGGTATTATTGTGTGAAAACTACAATATACCATATGTAATTTACCTTGACTTCTTCATACATGTTTTGGAAAAGTCTAATTTTTAAAGCAATACAAGAAACTTACAAATAAGCTGATAAGTCAAGAATATAAATAGTCGCATTTAAAATCATCATTTGTAAGTTTATTGTCGATATGATAGACTTCTTATCAAATACAACCTACTAAGTGCAATGCTGCCTGACGTTTTTCGATAGGACATTATTTACACTCTGAATTGTCTATTGATTTTTGCGATCATGACAAGGGTCACACAGCGGGTATGACCGATCGGCAGGGGATGCTCACTCATCTATTGCACCTGATCCCACCTCGGATATTTTTGAAGGTCTTTTTTTTGTTTTGCTACAGATTTGTTTTGCTCATTTGGAGCTTGAATACTTTTTTAGCTCACCTGAGCCGAAGGCTCAAGTGAGCTTTTCTGATCACATTTTGTCCGGCGTCCGTCTGTTCGTCTGTCTGTCTGTAAACTTTTCACATTTTCGACTTCTTCTCAAGAACCGCTGGGCCAATTTCAACCAAACTTGCCACAAAATATCCTTGGGTGAAGGGGATTCAAGTTTGTTCAAATGAAGGGCCACGCCCTTATTCAAGGGGAGATGATTGGGAATTAATGAAAATTTGGTAGCATCTTTTAAAAATCTTCTTCTCAAGAACCACAGTGCCAGGAAAGATGAAACTTATGGAGAAACATCCTCAGGTAGTGTAGATTCAAGTTTGTTCAAATCATGACCCCCAGGGGTAGGGTGGGGCCAAAATGGCCGACCAAAGTTTTACATAAAAATATATAGGAAATTTCTTTAAAAATCTTCTCCTCAAGAACAACAAAGCCATAATTGATCATATTTATATGGAAGCATCCTCAGGTAGTGTAGATTCAAGTTTGTTCAAATCATGACCCCGGGGGGTAGGGCGGGGCCAAAATGGCCGACCTAAGTTTTACATAGAAATATATAGGAAAATTCTTCTTCTTAAAAATCTTCTTCTCAAGAATAGCAAGGCCATAATTGATCATATTTATATGGAAGCATCCTCAGGTAGTGTAGATTCAAGTTTGTTCAAATCATGACCCCCGGGGGTAGGGTGGGGCCAAAATGGCCGACCAAAGTTTTAGATAGAAATATATAGGAAATTTCTTTAAAAATTTTCTCCTCAAGAACAACAAAGCCATAATTGATCAAATTTATATGGAAGCATCCTCAGGTAGTGTAGATTCAAGTTTGTTCAAATCATGACCCCCAGGGGTAGGGCGGGGCCAAAATGGCCGACCAAAGTTTGACATAGAAATGTATAGGAAAATTCTTTAAAAATCTTCTCCTCAAGAATAGCAAAGCCATAATTGATCATATTTATATGGAAGCATCCTCAGGTAGTATAGATTCAAGTTTGTTCAAATCATGACCCCCAGGGGTAGGGTGGGGTCAAAATGGCCGACCAAAGTTTTAGATAGATTCTTTAAAAATTTTCTCCTCAAGAACAACAAAGCCATAATTGATCAAATTTATATGGAAGCATCCTCAGGTAGTGTAGATTCAAATTTATTCAAATCATGACCCCCAGGGGTAGGGTGGGGCCAAAATGGCCGACCAAAGTTTTACATAGAAATATATAGGAAAATTCTTTAAAAATCTTCTCCTCAAGAATAGCAAAGCCATAATTGATCATATTTATATGGAAGCATCCTCAGGTAGTGTAGATTCAAGTTTGTTCAAATTATGACCCCCAGGGGTAGGGAGGGGCCAAAACGGCCGACCAAAGTTTTACATAGAAATATATATGGAAAATTCTTTAAAAATCTTCTTCTCAAGAATAGCAAGGCCATAATTGATCATATTTATATGGAAGCATCCTCAGGTAGTATAGATTCAAGTTTGTTCAAATCATGACCCCCGGGGGTAGGGTGGGGCCAAAATGGCCGACCAAAGTTTTAGATAGAAATATATAGGAAATTTCTTTAAAAATTTTCTCCTCAAGAACAACAAAGCCATAATTGATCAAATTTATATGGAAGCATCCTCAGGTAGTGTAGATTCAAGTTTGTTCAAATCATGACCCCCAGGGGTAGGGCGGGGCCAAAATGGCCGACCAAAGTTTGACATAGAAATGTATAGGAAAATTCTTTAAAAATCTTCTCCTCAAGAATAGCAAAGCCATAATTGATCATATTTATATGGAAGCATCCTCAGGTAGTATAGATTCAAGTTTGTTCAAATCATGACCCCCAGGGGTAGGGTGGGGTCAAAATGGCCGACCAAAGTTTTAGATAGATTCTTTAAAAATTTTCTCCTCAAGAACAACAAAGCCATAATTGATCAAATTTATATGGAAGCATCCTCAGGTAGTGTAGATTCAAATTTATTCAAATCATGACCCCCAGGGGTAGGGTGGGGCCAAAATGGCCGACCAAAGTTTTACATAGAAATATATAGGAAAATTCTTTAAAAATCTTCTCCTCAAGAATAGCAAAGCCATAATTGATCATATTTATATGGAAGCATCCTCAGGTAGTGTAGATTCAAGTTTGTTCAAATTATGACCCCCAGGGGTAGGGAGGGGCCAAAACGGCCGACCAAAGTTTTACATAGAAATGTATAGGAAAATTCTTTAAAAATCTTCTCAAGAATAGCAAAGCCAGGATTGGTCATGGGACTACTTTTGGATTTAAGCTTTTCAAGTATAAACCAGTTCTGCTTTTTCCTAGCCACAGTGCTCAGGTGAGCGATGTGGCCCTTGGGCCTCTTGTTTATCTTCATATTTCATTAATCATTAGGCCACTGTATTTATACTCTATTTGACTTCTAATTATTTTGTTTACCTGACGGCAGAAGCTTAATTCTCGTAGGCATTCGACACCTCTAAATTTTCTAGGTAAATGTGTTATTTCTGTCCTGGTCACATATTATAATGTAAGCTCTTTTGATCCAAGGGCTAAAAAAATAATGCATGTACTAATGGCCATTTGTGCTGTGTACATCAAAGTTGCTTTTTTCAAATTTGTCAGGAAGTATCCTTAGCGAAGGAGTTTTCATTTTTAGGTCACCTGAGTAAACTCAGGTACCTATTGCTATCCGTTTTCGTCCGTCGTCGTCCATCGTGCGTCGTCCGTCGTGTGTTAACATTTGAACATTTTCAGCTTCTTCTCTGCAACCACTGAACCAATTTCAACCAAATTTGGCACAAAGCATCTATGGGTAAAGGGGAACAAAAATTGTGAATTTCATGATCCCTGCCCCTCTGGGGCCTGAGGGGTGGGGCCAAAACCACTAAAATTAATGCAATCTTTAAAAATCTTCTTCTTTACTCGTGGACATCAAGCAGACAAACTGTTTGCATGATTGTAATAAGCATTTAGTCTTCTACCAAAATTTTGAAATTCATGGCCCTGGGTTCAGGGGTTCTAGTGCTAGGGCGGGGCTAAATAAGTATATAGTGAAAATGCATTATTTCTTTGAAAATCTTCTTCTCTGCTCCTGGGTATTAAATAAACCAACTAAGTACATAGTTATGATAAGCAAGAGTGCCTCTACCAAAATTGTGACTTTTATGGCCCCAGGATCAGCAGCTCTGGTGTTAGGGTGGGGCTCTATTGATTATATGTAGTGAAAATAGATGATTTCTTTGAAAATTTTCTTCTCTGCCCCTGGGTATTAAATAAACTAACTAAGTACATAGTTATGATGAGCAAGAGTGCCTCAACCAAAATTGTGAATTTTATAGCCCCAAGGTCGAGGGTTCTGATGTGGGGGGGGGGGGGCCTCTATTGATTATATAGTGAAAATACATGAATTCTTTGAAAATCTTCTTCTCTGCTCCTAGGTATTAAATAAACTAACTAAGTGCATAGTTATGATGAGCAAGAGTGCCTTAACCAAAATTGTGAATTTTATAGCCCCAGGTCAAGGGTTCTGGTGGGGGGGGCTCTATTGATTATATAGTGAAAATACATGAATTCTTTGAAAATCTTCTTCTCTGCTCCTAGGTATTAAATAAACTAACTAAGTGCATAGTTATGATGAGCAAGAGTGCCTCAACCCAAATTGTGAATTTTATGGCCCCAGGATCAAGGGTTCTGGTGTGGGGGGGGAGGGGGGGGCTCTATTGATTATATAGTGAAAATACATTAATTCTTTCAAAATCTTCTTCTCTGCTCCTAGGTATTAAATAAACTAACTAAGTGCATAGTTATGATGAGCAAGAGTGCCTCAACCAAAATTGTGAATTTATGGCCCCAGGATCAAGGGTTCTGGTGTGTAGGGGGCTCTATTGATTATATAGTGAAAATACATTAAATCTTTGAAAATTTTCTTCTCTGTGTCTGGGTATGAGGCAGATGAACTACCTATATACTTATGATGAGCAAGGGCCCTAATATTGCAGAATTGTGAATTCAAGGCCCCAGGGTCAGGGGGGGCACTACTTATATACTGAAATGAATTAATTGTTTGAAATCTGCTCCTTTGTATTTATAAAACATTTATTTATTTTTTGATAGGCAATTTTAAGGATGCCTTTTTAAAATTTGTGCAATGTGTGGACCTAGGGTCAGGGGTTTATGTCACAGTCTTCGGGGCACTACTAATTATTGCTGAATATTACTGATTAGTTGGAATGCATTTTTGTTCCCCTACCCTGCGTATGGGTATTCAGTAACCAAGCTAAGCAACTGCTAAGTGTATTGTTATGATGATCAGTGGTGCCTCTTTCAAAATTGTAAATGTCATATAGCATCTGGCTTAAAACATGAATCAAATGCAATAACTGGAAAGTTGTTGCATAATGCTCAGGTGATCTATAAGGCCCGTGGGCCTCTTGTTACTTAAAATAATGATGTGGTCCTTAAATAGGGGGACATGCTTAGGGAAATAA